CAGCCTCGATGGGAAGGTGCCAGAAGTGACACCAAGTTCCTGCAGCATTCAAAACAATCTTGGTGTGGTCAGGGAAATTGAACTGGATTCTTGTCAGCGCTTGTCACGTCGAAGTTGTAGTATTGGAACTTACTTGAAGATGCCCGTCACCAAAGACCCAGCAACCGACATCGCCGAAGCGCTGGTAGAAGATGACCAGATCCGAAGGTTGAGAGTTGTTGCCAGAGAACTCCATCGGGCGAGTGACGGTCTCCTCGGCCGGAAGTGGCTCGTCTCTACCGTAGGCGATCATGTAGTTGGCGAACTTCTTCCAGAGGATGACACGCTCCCTCTTTCTGTGCTCGTATACGTCCTTTCCTGGGTTCAGCTTTCCGGGCGTTCCGTCCTCGTAAACCGGCACGCGGAACTGCGACGAGGAAACAGAGACTCGGGCGAGACCGGTCTCGCCGTTGTTCTCGTAAAAGTGAATGTCTTGCTTGGGCGGCAATGGCTGATGCCTCTCGGGATACGATTCGTCATGTCGTCGCTCGATATGGCGCTCAGCATCGCGTACGAGCATGCAGGCTGATGGCAACGTGAGAGTCTTGCTCCCTTCCGTAGTAGGGATATCTCGCAAGATGCAACCGACACCGCCGTCGTTCAAGATGTAGCCAAGACCAAACTTGTTTGTGTAGTCCACCCATTTGACAACCACGTTGGGATGAGGCGGGGTGGTGTCCTTGGACGAGATGATGGCCATGGTGCGAGCATTCAGGGCACGTTCCAGCTCGGCCTGAAGCCGGCGAAGTCGCTCGAGCACAACATCAGGCTTAGAGCCTGCTACCGTTTCCGGGCACTCCGTCGGGCTGAAGAGAGACGCCTTCTCAGTTTGATCGGATGAGATCTTGAGGTTTTCCAGGAGACCGGTCATGGTGACTGTGGGTTGGTTGGAACTTTGCGGCACCATGGCATGGCTGGGAAGAGATCCCGTCGACTGCGTCGTCGGAAGTGGTGTCCTCCGGGCCGCGGTAGACTTCCTCAGTGGAGGCTCGGAAAGCTGGTTTCGAGACTCCGGTGCACTAAACTGTCTGACTGACCTCGGGCGTGCCGCTTCCGCTGGTTGAGGAGCCACTTCTGGCTGCGGTCGTGATCTGACCGTGCTGGCCACCGCAGGGGGGCGGTTTTGAGCTCTCTGCTGCGCGGCAAAGCTTTGGGGTGGTTGACGAAACAGGCCTGTCGGTGCTGTTTGGGAACCGCTCAGATGCGGTTCCGACGTGGAATCGGAGCGGTTAGACGACGAGGCGGCAAGAGCACGAGCGTGGCGCTTCTCGCGGAGCCAGTCGTCGAAAGGTCTGTAGACGACGTCCTCTCCCAATGGGATCATGGGCGTCAAGCCAGACTTCTCCTCCGCAGCCATCTCTTTCCATGTCTGTGTATGAATAACCTGCACCGGTGCCAGGGGGCCAACTCCACATTCTCTGCACATGTCCTCCATGTTCTTCTTACTGACCGCCTGCAGCTGAGAGCTCATGCGGTCAGCATAGAATTCAGGGCTGTCGGGTGGCAACGTCAGGAGTCTGGTTGTCATGTCGGCCTCCACCGGCATGTAACCGCAGGTGAAAAAGGGGTGCTGAACAATGACGTCCGGTTCTGGTCTCATATCTGCGTCCTCGAGCATCGTGGCAACGCAGTCCTTAGCTTCCTCGCTGATGTACTTTTGCGAGGTTTCCGGGTTCGGCCATTCGTAGTCTCGTTCCCTCGCTCGGCGATAAATTTCCTCGGTGCTCGTCGATTGGAATGGTGGCTTGGATGTCAACATGGCGAACCTACTTCAGTCAGTGGGAGAACTCTCGGCTTCGGTCGGGTTATACTGACATGATGATACCCAAGCTCCAAATATCGACCGCATGATCGTGTCCCTTCTTCCCTTTTTGGAGAATCTCGGGCGCAATGTAGTTGGGCGTTCCGCACAGGGTGGTCCTTCTTATGGTCTGCATATCCCGGCCAGTAACTAACAGAGCAGCCAGTCCAAAGTCGCCGACCTTGGCGTTCATGCGGTGGTCGAGAAAGATGTTGCCCATTTTCAGATCTCGGTGGATAATGCCCTTTCCGTGCATATACTTGATTGCCCCGGCCACCTGGACAGAGTAGAAACGAACCTCGGGCTCGGTCAGGCCCTTACGCTTCTTGACCATGTCCATGAGAGAGCCGTTGGTGCAAAGCTCGAGAACCAAATACATGCAGTCGTGGAACGAGAAGGCCCTGAAAAACTGTACAATGTTCTTGTGGTTCATCTTGGAGTGAATCTGGAGTTCGGTTTGGAACTGCGCAACATGTTAGAACCGGGCGTCGCCGAACAACGCTACAGTGTAACAAATCTGACCTTCTGCTGCATCTTGGACGGCATCTGGCTCCGCACAATCTTTAGCGCGTACTTTTTGCGTTCCGGCAGGTGATATCCCGTGTAGCACACGGCAAAGCCGCCCTTGCCGAGCATCTTGCCGACCTGGTACACGGCTCCATTCGGACGATCGCTGGCCGGAGGCTCCTCAACGCTTGCAGGCGGCTGTGGCGGTGGCTCCTTGTCTTTCGCAGCCTTGAGCTGGACGACGGGTTTGGAGGTTTTCATTTCGATAGCCTTGGGCATGCGCAACGCGTTGGCGTCCCTCGGCGACAGAGCCTCCAAATCAACACCCGTTTTCGCCACCAACCTATGGGCCATGACTGTGGCCTCGCTTCCTTTGAAAACAGGTGTTATCCCGAGAGGACGGCGGCTCTCGAGAACGAAGAAGACAGTACTGCAAAACCAAGATCGGCCCTGGGTTGTGGAGAGGGAGGGCCTGTTGCGCGCAACCGTCAGTACATGGGATAGGGTGGTTGGGAAATGATGGATATAGGTATGCACTATTGAAGAGAATTGGGAAAAGGCAGACAAAGCGTAGTCCAAGTGTTGTTCAACCTATCTAGCGCATGTGGCCACAGCCTAGCGGACAGGACAAACAGCAACAAGCCGGGGTATGATTTGTTTACTCACCCGTCTTAGAAACAGATCATGTGCGGAAAAAAACAAGACGCCCTGAAAGAAGCCGGCAGGCAATTGACAAGTGGCTGCTGACGAGACGAGGACGTCGCAGAAGAAACTCACCGGGGAGATTCAGAGTTGTCGGGATGATGCGCCTTTGAGACGGAGTGGTAAACTTTTGGTGATGGGGGTGGAGTGAAGGGGCCTGGTTAGTGTGCCGTCGCTGTTGACCTTCGCTTCGCGTGCCGTTGCCTGGGGAACTGCGAAACTGGCTGGTTACAGTTTCGTCCTTGAGAGCCACTAGAGTCCGCCGATGCTGCTCCACAATTGGCCTCTTGCTCGTTGGTTGCCGGCTTAGGTAAGTAGATTGAGACAAGAGATTTGATCAACAAGCAGGTGCTCCTATGAGGGTATCGTGCTACGCATCATTTCAACATGCAAGTAGGGTCATTTAGTCCTTCCCGCATACATCTTGAGGATTCACGATATTATTCGCCTCAACCAGGAGTGAGTTTCATATCGAAACGAAACCTGGTTGTCCTGTTCATGCTTACAGGCAGCCCCGATTGCAATCTTGGGCACCGAGGCTCAGTCAGCGAGCCGGGGCCCTGCTGGAATCGCCTCCGAAGCCCAAAGAAGCGGAACATCAAATAAGCGTGTTCCGTGCACTTCCGCTGCGGGACGGTGGGAGATCCATTCCAAGCATTAGACGTCAGCTGCTTAACGTAGCTCCTATAAACCCGACTGACTTACAAGAGTAGACATAGCTGTACAGATCACTAACCTCTTCTTCGACACTGAATTGCCCTTACTGTAGTCAATGAGTATCTGCTGTCCCAATTGACAGCAAGCAACTCCGCCAAGACCAAGCCAAGCAGCGCCGTAGCACGGAGCTTCCGGAGCTCTCCTGACCAACGGCGCTTCCGTCACTCAATCGACCCTCGAAAAAAAACCCACCATGGTACCACTACCTCTTTTCAAGCTCGCCGCGCTCTTTGTGCGGCATGTGTCCAAGTATGGCGCCGTAAGTTGGAAACCTCAGTCACCCAATCCTCCGAGGGCCGTTGTGGGAGATATCTAACCGGCTACAGAACCAAATAAAAGCGCAAGCCCACGAGCACCCCAAGTTCCGCGCCTTCGCCGCCCGCTATGGACAGTCCATCCACCAGCTCAACATGCGTCTAAACGTCGCCCTCCTTCGGAATCCAGACGCCGAGCAGCGCGCGAAGGAAAAGGCAGAGGCCCCGACGGTCAAGACAAAAGAGCAGGTCGAAAAGGAGGAGGCGGCTAAGGCGCGGCAGGCGAACTCTGACGCCGCGAAACGGAAACCCCTCGTGCCCACGGCGTCGTCGGAGTCTTCATCGTCCAGCTTGTCCAGCTCGTCCTCGAATTCAGAAAGCGGTAGTACCGCCAGCGGCTCCAGCAGCACTGGTAGCTCAACGAAAGAGAAGCCCAAGACCGTCTGGCGCCGCAAGTTCCGTCCCCTCCCCGAGAACAAGGCCGTCGACCTCTTCGCCGACGTCATCGGCGACGCCTTCATCCTCGGCGTTGCGAGCGCCATCATCGTCTACGAATACTGGAAGGCGTCGCAGAAACCCGACCAGAATGCTGAGCGCATCCGCGTCCTCGACGAGAAGCTCGAGGAGCTGACGCGCCGCGAGCGCGAGCTGGCTCAGCGCGAAGACGAGCGCTCCCAGCGGTACCTCGCCATGGAGGCCGCGCTGCGCGACCTGAGGGACCCCAAGACCAAGAAGCCGCTGCTGCCGGGCCTGCAGCTGCCGACGCAGTCGCAGTCTCCAGCGTCCACGGCGGCATAAGGCCTTTTGGGCGGATGTGCCAGGAGTTGGCTGGACAAAAGGCGTGGATTTCTTATACAGGATTTCTTATTTTTCATGATACCATTTAGCGGGCGAGAGGCATTCTCTGCTATGCCCAGTACGGCGCGTGTAACGTTATGGGCGGGCATCTTAGACATGGAAGGCACCTCACTCTTGGAAATAACGGAAAAGGCAGGGGCAAGCTAGACAGCGCCTGCCGAAAGTTACATACTTGACTCACCTCACATAGAAATTCATGCCATCTTCGGTGGAAAAAAACCGAAGACGAGATGCTTGAAAGCTCACAGCTCGGCCACATTGCATCCCGTGATATCCTCCTGCGAACTCCGCATCAGCAAGGCCATGTTCTGTTCTTCACTCCGCAAGCGTCCGGAATGGACGCCGGCGATTCCCCTCCTGACCGGCAGCGCGCCCCGACTCCAAGGTAGACGGAATGCCGAAACCCCTTCGCCAAGCTGGAGTCACTCGCTGACGGAGGCGACAGAGAGCAGGTTGAGCACGCACGACATCGCGCTCCCCCTCCCGCAGCAGCAGCAGGGCCGCTTCCTCCGCCTGGTCCTCCTCTCGCCAAAGGACGTCGGGGCGGCAGCTACGGAGGAGCGCCTGGAGCGCCTCTTCAACCTCGACGGAGGCCGCGACGCGGCGGTAGTCTTTCTCCTCGACCAGCAAGGACGAGACACGAACCCGACGGAGGCCTTCATGACCCTACAGATTGAGTAAGCACTCGGCCTTTTTTTGTAAGTGTTTGTGCTTTTATGGCTGACGAGACGTCGCTTCAAAGCATTCTCAACAAGCTCGAACTCCCTCTGATCCCTTTAGCATCTGTGGCAGCCCTCCCATCCACCCTCGCCAACCTTCAGACCGTCCCCGTCCCCATACAACCCACCGAATCCCCGGCCCAAGTCGCCCCCATCTCTCTCTTTCAGCACATGAGTAGCGGCAGCGGCCCCCTTTCGGAGCACGCAACAAACCTTCTCAGTGAATTGGGGCGATCACCGTGTGAAGTGGCCGTTCTTGCCGCGACGGACCAGGGGAGAGCGCAGATCCTGGATCTACTTGGGCCGGCAGAGGGAACCCGAGTTCTTTCGTTTCTAGCACAAGAGAGGCCAGTCTTCGCTTGAATAGAGACAAGCAAGGAAATCCAGGAGGGGAGGGACTTCCATCGATGCCTGGTGCTGTGAAAAGCTGGGGGGATCGTGATGCAGCGCCGGATAGGCGACTTCCAGTTCTCCTGCGAGGAACGACAGTGGCAATACGAGCTGGCTGAGTCCACAGAGGGGAACCGTGGTAGGGGGGGGGCATGGTTTGGGGGGGAGGATGGGGAAAGGAATACGGAGAGGCTGTGTTCCATGTGCAGCGCCAGGGGAGACATGAGACGAGAAAAGGGGGTTGATGGCTCGGCGGCGATACCATCTTGACGAGCGGTGAGTGGGGGCTAGGAGGACAGCAGACGAAATATGGAACAAGGCTTCGATAGTCTTGACTAGCCACCTTAGCTTAGCCAGCCTGCTGGGTAAAAAGGTAGTGGGATGAGAAGGGGGTGGAAGCGTTGGCAAAACTCGTGGTATGATATGTCGTTCGAGTCTCACTCAGAACAGCCGTTTTTTTCAATAACAGCCGCGGAAGAGGCGTCCGGAACAGCTGCCAGATCTTGACACGCCATCTCACGAATGTTGGGATGAAAAAGCCCAGGGACGTGCGCGCGACGGCGTGCATATGACATTTGTGTCCTAGGCTATACAGCCTCATTGTGTGCGATTGCCGCTTCTACGGTGCTGGCGACTAGGCCATGAAAAAATATGATGCACTTGGTGTTCGGGAAAGTGAGAGGCGTCACACACCAGATGTCAGCCAAATCCTTGGCCCCCATACCGGCTGTGCCCAATTCCCGTGCAGATCGCGAGTTGGGCCAACCTCGGGCCCCAGTGGTATTTCTTTTGGAAATCATCCGGCGGCTTTTTGAGAAATGCGCAGCAGCGTGCGCTTCGATCAGAGGGAAGGCTCAGGCTAGACGTCGATCAAGAGTCCATGAGGACGATCAGTTGTTTAAACTGTCTTGGCGCTCGGTTGATGCAACTCCCGTTGGAAGCGCTGGCCCGTGTCGTACCCTTCGAACTGAAATACGCAGCCAGGGCGGTCCCTCGTAAGGCCGCACAGGTACACGTGATCGTACACGGAAACGTGGCAGGAGAACACAGCGTGAGCACCATGCCAAGTACCCAACACGCGATGATCGTGCCATCGACTCGGTGTCGACTTTGCCCCCAACTCTGCGTCTAAAGACTCTACAAGTTTCCTTGGCTGCCATATCCTCGCCCGAGTTGCCGCAGTGCCGATGATCCCACGAGTGGGCATTTCCCCTGAGTAGGGAAAATAGCGGAGCGACCTGACACAGACACGCGAATTTTTGCAACCCCTTCCATGGCGACTGTCGAGTCGTGCAGCGGAGGCGGCCATCAGCCACAAGCACAATCCTTTGCCGGGATTCCGCACCTTGCACCAGGCGAGACCCTGGACCAAGGGCGAGGGGCCGGGCAGTGCCATATTACGTCCAAATTGCACCGGCATTGCACTCATATTGTGCTATATTCGTCGTGATATCACTCAAACGCCTGTTCGAGATCGGACGCCGCACGACATGCTTATCTGACAACCGAACTTCTGGACGTCCGCCCCAGAGCGGCCCCAGACTTGCCGTGTAAGTAGCGGCGGCAAACGTCCAAGTCTTGGCGGGCTTCAAACACCACAAGCGAGTACAGCTCGCCGTCACACCCGCGCGGAGCAACCCTTGTGACGATGTCGGTGAGGGCAATTTTCAGTCCTTAATGGGGGAGGGAAACCGCCTCGCATCGCATGCAGACACAGGCCTTGCTAGTGTTCACCATGCATTGCCGAGGAAAGAAACCGCTTTGCTGGGAAACTATTCCAGGCGTAGGGTCCGAGTGTGCCCAGGGCGATCAATGGTGGATGCGAAAAACGCAGACCGCTCCTCGGGGCCCAGATGTGAAGTCGGCACTATATGAATCCAATGGTACTGTGATTACTGCTCGGCGGTTGCAGTAGCACAAGTGACGACGGCTCCTACAACAACAGGACGCAGCGGCTTTGCTGGTTGGCCAGACGCACGGAGAGGGTGGGCCGTGGCCGTGTGGAATCTGAGACATGGAACCAATGAGCAGCAACACAGAGCCGCCCGCCAAAATAGAGTTGAACACACTGCTGGTGTTTTCCCCTCTCCTCAGGGTTATTTTTAGCGTCCATCTTGCAGCATCGCGATGCAGAGAACGGATGAGCGGGATGTGATGCAGCTCACCTAAGCAGTGAGCGAGGGTGCAGACGGCCAATTAACAAGATTCAATTAAGATCCTGCCAGCCCGCCCAACCTTGTTCTGCCGAGCTGATCTCGTTCTGCATCGGTTTTGCCATCCATTGAGTTTCTTGGCTAGAGACTATCGAATCAACGTCACAACCCACACCAGCCGTGATGGGGCTCGATCAGGCAAGAAGCCAGAGTAGTGCAGTCAGTCCACCACTGTTCTAGTCTCAAGGGCACGTCCACCAATGCATTTCTGGAGACGTAGGTGACACAAAGATGCATGCCCACGCCAAGACCAAGGCATGGACACCGACGGACAGCCTGGTGCATATCTGACGACGGGAGGCTGATCTCACAGACGGCCAAGGTGAGGGGAAAGGGCACCTTTTTTCGTGCGTGTGTATATATGTGTGTGTATATGTGTGCGCGTGTGTATATGTGTGTGTGTGAGTGTATGGAAATTCTCCGCGCTATGCCTCGGCCTCAAAAGTATGGATCGCAGCTGTCACCAACAACACTTGGACAATTGTCGCAGAAAGCTGACGATGCAAGCCAGATCATATGGCGCTTTGGGGGGTAACTACTTTAAAACCCCCAAGGGCTCATCTGAAGATTGGCCAATGCTCGGCCTTGTTGCGTGGTGGACGGGGTGAGCGATCCAGCCAAGACAAGCAGAGTTGTCGCTGGCAATTAGTGGCAGCAAGATGAACCCCTTCCCCAGCCCATTTTTAAGGTTCTGTCGACATGGATTGCTCGGTAGCTTCGATGGCAATGCCACTGTTTCCTTAGCGGTCCGTTCTCTGCGTGAAGCGCAGCGTTCATCCTCATTGTCTCAGTCGTAGGTTATTCGGCCCAAAAACTCGGACTGGGGTGGAGAATGGGGTTCGTGGGATGAGACAACGACCGCTGGAAGGTTGGCGTTCATGCGGCTTGAAAGTTTGCCGGGTAAAGCATCACCGCTGTGGTTTGGTTGTGGTCTACGCTGTCCGCCCACAATGGTAAGGCTTCACCATGTCTGTGGTAGCGAGTGTACCGGAGCCAGCAGCAAGTCGTGGTAGGCATGGTGCCTCGGATCGACCGGCCAATAAATGTAACGAGGCTATCCGTATAATGCGACAGAATGTTCTCCGATGACTGTCGTGTTCGCTGTCCATGTGGTCGTGGACGACCAGCGGAGAACAAGATGACCGGCCCAAAGAGCGGTACGAATACAGGGGGCCGGGGTCAGCGTCACCCTTTAACCTGCTATCCAAGGTGGGCTTCCGCTTCGGGCTCAGTCGACAAGTATTCCCATGTTGTGAGTGGTCGAAAGCGAATGGACGACAAGGGACAGGGTTGTTGCGTCGGACGAGACCGCAGGGGCTGCGACCGGGCAACAGAGCAGCCGTCCCAACTTCTCAAACCCCCTGTGCCTCAACACAGCCATTCTGGAACCTGGGTCCGTCGGAGAAGGTTTTGCTGCTTTGATCAGCAGTCTCAGAGTTTTCTGAGGATCAGATGGCATGAACTCGCAATTAGAGAAGGGCTACAGTTCACCTCCAGGCTACAGATCTGGAGGACGGGGGTGGCCTGCGCTGTGTCGATTTCTACCTAGTAGTAGGTACTTGACGCCATCTGGAAGATCGATTGAGTTCGTGCAACACGGGAGATGTGTAGGGGGTGCGGATGATGTAGAAGAAAAGAGGGGGTGGTTCGTACAACGGTACCGTCCTGCTGTAAGCGGACTGCCTCTTCAGAGGGGTTGCGAGCAAACCGCCCATCATTCAAAGTGTCCGCTCGACCCAGATAACAGGCAATGGCGGGTAATTGTTTATTTGCACTGGCTTGGTTTAAACGAAGGTTCTTGTCGTTTCCCTAATTGCCTGCCTGTATCGTAGAATTCTCTGCACTCTCATTTGTCGAAATGGCTGGCGCTAGGTAGTTTATATTAATTAAATCGACCGCTCATCCGAAGGCAATCGGCCTCCTTCTCCTCTAAAAGTGGGCGGATGGAAGAGCAATTTAGCACACCCGATCGCTAGAGGCTGGTGTCTTACAGGGCCTGGTCATTGCTACCGTGTTAGCTAAGGCGTTTTGAGCCGCCACCCCCCCCCCCCCCCCCCTTCTGTCCAGGCGACAACAAGGTGGCGGGAGCGAAATGGAAGCCCAGAACGACAGAAAGGGTACTTGCTCACGCAGCCAAAGCAAGGGTGGTCACAAGGTCACTGCGCGGTCCCTTCTGAAGACGGGTGGGATGCTGGCATGCGATGATCTGAAAGACTGACGGTTGACCAGACGGCCCTAAGCTCGCCCCTGGACCCTTGGCGACAGGAATAGACCCACACCTCGCCTGCCAACGGTGAAGAAGCAGGGTTCCCATTGGTTCAAGCTCGTTCTCTAACCGCCCACGCATTTTGCGTGCAAGTCCAATCACCTCTACCCGTTAACCACTGATGCTTGTGTCGCCTTTCTTTCGACCGTCACTCGCTCTCGCGTAGGTACTATGCTATATTGCTTGCAGGAAACGATACCGGTATCGCCTCTTCCGCATTGTCCTCCCACCAGGTCTACCCATCCCGGCTTTGCTTGCATCCGTACCCGCCGACCTACATCCCCCACCCACGTATACCCCCATTCTTGCAGTCAAGTGATGGCTGGAGTCCGCTCTCAGCGCCTAGTCACCCTCCCAGAATACATGGGTGACGGCTTCAACTGGCTCCCAAGTGAGATAATGGGCCGTCTCAGCCGTGGCTGGATAGAGGGTGGACGGGTAGCGCTTACGCCGCGACATCGCAGCATAGACGTATGATGCCGCCCGCTTTCTGCACGCTGCACTTCTTGCTTGCATGCAATCCCACCCAGATGGACAAGATGTCACTCAGCACGCTCGACAACCCCGGCCCTCCCATGGGCTAACGTTTCTTAAAACTCGTCTGCCTCCGTCTTTCGCGGATGCGGCCAGAAAGCGTTTCCTGTTCCTCTTCCACCTCCTTGCCTCACAAGCGTCCCTGGCAACTGTCTTGTCTGATCTTCAAACAGCCTTCATGCGACGGGGCCGATAAAGCACGGATCCCTGACGAACATCACGTACAACACACTCCACCACAACGCTTCACCATCCCGACCTCTGCCTCACACCCCGTACACAACGGCTTCCCGGCAACTGGGGGGGATTCTTTCCCACACAGAGCCTCAACGCTTTGGGCTTCGCATCCCATAATACCCACGAACATCATACATCCTCACTGCTGTGGCCGTCAGCACTTGCACAGCGACTTGGCCAACCCAAGCCAGCCAGTCCCCCCCCCCCCCCCCGGCCTCGTTTCTTGGTCCTGCGAGGCTGGTCCATATCAGAGCCAATACAGCCCACCCCCCTGTGCAACCAGAAACGTCTCAATGTCGCTCGGATGCCTGCTGTCATCATAGATCAGATTGCTCGAACGTGGATCTCTAGAGAACTTACTCCGCTATCGAGCCAGAAACACCCCCGACACTGTTCCCTGCTCACCAAGCTGCCTACCTAGCCTGGGGGCCCAACTCTGATACAAGCCTCATCCAGCATTCTGTGCGGCTCGGCGTCTTGCCCTCTGGGCCGGACACGCCTGCATCCACACCTTCCTCCACCTCCCAACACTACCCCTGGCCGGTTCTCTAGCTTGACTTTGTCACCCCCATCCCAGCTCTCATCTCAATATAGAGTCGTCCTCCCCGCCTTGTGTTCGGTTGACATTTCTTGTCTCCTCTCTTGACCTTCTCTTCCTTCCTCGTCAGCGCTGTGCACTAGCCTGTCGATATCCTTCTTTTAATATCGACATCTTCGCTTCGAAACGCCTTTCACTTCATCATTCAACCCGCAGGTCCGGTACCTCTTTCCTTCCTTCCACCGTTGCACGGTTTACCTCCGACTGAGTCGCCTTTCTATCGCCATACCCGTTACATTCGCAAGAGGATCCGATCTCATCGACCGCCCCCTTCGTTACTTTCATTCGCTGTTGTTCGGGGTTTCTTGGGATAAGACACAAGGGCATATCAGAGTCGTGGCATCACCGTCGACAGGCTTCGTCAGCAACACGCAAAACGCAAGGATCGAAATATTTCAACAACACTGAGCAATCAGAAAGATAAAGGACAAGACTTCAAGGGAAACTCGTCGCCAATCTATAATCGATAACCATGGGTCGTCTTATTAAGAACCACTGGGCTCGCCTCATTGTTATGAGTGCCGCAGTTTGTAAGTCGAGAAAACCGTCACAAAAAGGTCCGAGCAGCCGTGCTAACCTCACGCCAACAGACCAGGTTGCCGCCGCCGTCGAAGGCTTCTTCTATCCCAAGATCTTCTGGGACTTTTTGACCAAGTCCTTGGATCCGGCAGTCAAGCCCGTGCCGGTGTTGCAGATTATAAACCTGATCATGGCTCTGTTCATGGTGGCTCTGGAGTGGCCTCTGGTGTTCCTCGCCGGCTCGGCGGTTCACCGCAGTCTGGAGTTTCGCCTCATCATTCTCCCTCTCACCTCTCTCGCCTCCGCTCTCATCTACCAGGGCACCAACTCGGCTCTCTACTACCTTGTTGGTCTGATTGTCTACTTTTGGGCTTACAGCGAAGGAGAGGTATGTGGCCTAACTCTCCCAACTTACTATTTCCTTGGGTCATGTACTAACCCAATATCCAGATTATCTGTGCCAAGCCGTGGACACTTCCTCAAAGAGGCCGCGGCGGCGGTCGCGTCTAAACGTTTTTACTTGGTTTTCCAGCTCGCCGTATACAAGCGCCTCGAACTCGCATGGTATTATGATCTGGCAGAAAGGGCCGCCGTGCACTCAAAGTCAACCAGCCAACGCCCTCCACCCAAGCAGCCTCGGATGAATCGACGAAACCTTACCGTTCGTTCTCTGAGCAATATATATCAACCCTATTTTCTTATACATTTTTAACGACCTATCCTACTCGATATCACGGCATCTAGCATCGGCGTTATTTCGGACGACATATCGTTCATCAATTTCTTCTGCACTCTCGGCCGAAACCGAATCATCGGAAGAGGCCACAAGAAAGTCTTCCATTTTCCAGCGCTGTTTTCCCCTCTCGATTCATCCAAGTGTGTGCATACTCTTGTCCGGGCAGCTGTAGTGGTGTGTGGTGTGTATGTGTTCGGGTGGTGATGGATAGCTTGTTAGCGTTTTGTCCCGGCCGATCATGGACGTACGCTATCATGGGTTGACGTTGCTGTCGCGGGAGGGCGCATGCGCATGGGCTGAGCACGGGAGGATCAGGAACGAGACTGGCGACAGGAGTCATCCTTGACCTCGCGCTTTGCGTGGGGCAAGGCACGCCGCGTCCCACGTCTCGGGAGGGCGCAGTGTATCATCCCGAAGCCCGACGCAACAACGCTCGGTGTTACATTCCGATTTCAGGATGGAAAACGGGTCGAGAGACAGACGACCGAGTTTGCCCGGAATAGCGAAAACGACGCTGTCAAGAGAAAGCGTGTGGCATTGAGTCTCGGAAGATCAGCGCACGAAATGCTACACCTAATGTCAAGACCCAAAAAATCGAACACCAAAAAGGATGACCCAACTAGTACATTTTCGTGTTCTATGCGTGACTGAATCGAATTGTAATCCCCATCATCGTTCTGAACTTTCGCCATCATGTCCAGCCCCCCGTGATATTCTCTCATGTTCGACAACCGAATCCGAAAAGGCAGGTAACCTTTCCTCCCTTCTCAAATCGAATAAAGGCAGGTTCGCCACGGCGTCACCCCTCCGGGCGTTTACACTCTGTCTCGGGTCCAGCCCCTTGCAGGCCCTGTTGGCTGCTGCTGCTGCACACCGAGAGAGAAAGAAAGATGATAAGAAAACAGAGTTTGGCTGTCAAGCTCATCCTCCTGCCTCGACGCCGCCGCGCGCTGGTCAGTTCTCTCCTATCCGTCCCCACCTTCATCTTCGAGGTAACGATGTGCGTGCATATGCGTCTGCGTGACCGGGTGTGCCGATTCGGCAACATCTCCGAACGAGCGACCGACCAGATAAGGTCTCATGAGGGAAGCGAACAAGAAGGGGGAGAAAAAAAAAAAGCCCTGCAGAACGTATGGGCGGTGCACCAGTGTGGGCAAGGGGCCGTGTCGGTGACTCCGCGCAGCAGCATGCACCCCCCGAAACACTTCAGAAACGGGCGCAACATCACGAACCCAGGAGGGGCCCCACCTTTGCCAGCCCTTCGCAAATTAAAGCTGTGCTTACTACAACCTTTATATTGACTGGGGTCTAGGATTTTTTCCCCTAAAATTCCTAACCAAGCCACCGGTAGTAAACCCCCTACTCTCATGGGTGGACAAGCTTTGCTGTTGGGAAGACATCGTGAGGAACTCGCCCAAGCTAAGCTTTCGGTTTGTACGGGACGGTTTGGCCGGAATCTCATTAGTTCCATACATCTATCATGAAACCAAAATGGAAGTAGAAGCAAGACATGTAAGAAGTCATGTGTTCATGTTCTGCTATCTACTAGCTAGAAGAACCCACCAATGACCCCATGTTGATTATGGGCGTCGATGTTGAACCCTAGTTGGGCTCGAAGGAGATGATTTCTTGGAAGGTTCCTACACCTTACTCATCCTCCTCCATTGCATATAAGGGTGTTACTGGAGACGCGCTTCATATTGCTTTCGCATGTTTCCATGCCGAGATAGCAATGTTATGACACTCATTCACCGTGCCATTCCTTGCGCTGTCGTTGCTACACAACACCGCCAAAACATCATAAAGCCTCAGAAGCCAGTACGCTCGTCAAGTGCCACTAGTCTGGTGGCCGCCGTGTAATTAAGACTAATCATCCCCTAGTGGGCAATCAAGGGGCCTTGAGAATCGTTCTTGTTTCCTTGACGATCGGGGAACTAACACGATGCATCGTCAGCGACGGAGATCACAGGGTGTTAGAACATGGAAGAGAGCTCACCTCAGTGTTCTGCGCATCGCCCTTCTCAAGGATCTGGATGATCACCTTGTCGTCAACGCTGGTACCGAACTCGTTCTCCAGCGTGGACTTGGAGGCTGCGTCGTAGGTGCCCTGGTTGCCTTGCCTGGTTGTATGGATTAGCCGATGAAAGTGTATGAAGGTGATGCGGGTCGCTAAAGATTCCCATCGGTCCGAGTCCCATTTAAATGGAACAGGAAAAGCCAACAATATTCACGTTTGATAGAGCAGCTGGGCTGACAATAACACCGTGCGTGCCCAATTGGCTCATCGGAACCGATAAATCATACTGTGGAGGTGAAGTGAGGGGTAATCCGGGCCAATGACTTACTTGTGCGTGACGAAGATCTTGTAGGAGGAGATGAAGTGGGCCAAAGGGATAGACTTGTCCGTCTTCCACTTCTTGAACAGCTCGGCATCCTCAACGAAGACGATGAAGTCGTCCTCCTGGCCCTTGTAGTGGACCTTGGTCTGGTGGGCCTCGCCGCGAACCATTTTGGCGGTTGATTTGATGATGTATTGGTGATTGGTTGTGTGGTGTGATTGATGATCTCCGACGGAGTTCTTGTAGATTGCTAGTGGTGTACGTGAAAGACTAGAGTCGTGGAGGTATCTTAAATGAGTTATTTCGTTGATTGTTTGATTAATTGAAAAGTGAGCAAAGGTTGGGAAGAAGCTTACCTCCAGGCCTTTTAATATGATATGCGCACGACCTGAGCCCCTAGGGGAGCTTCCCCAGCTGGGAAGCTCGTGATTCGGAAGCTACGTCATAGGTGCGAGAACACGCGATTGCCCTTTCATCACTGCCCCGCCATTTGGAGCTTGCCCAGGGGGGCGGGGCATAATGTGCTCCGTGCATCGCCCAGCTCGCCCAGGTAAGTAGCCATTAGGTACCGGGAACTCTGAGCGTTCCTGCATCGAACCGGTGTAGTACGTCACTGCTAATCCAGACCAAGATTTTTTTGGGCCAAAGGGGTATTCACACGTCGCGATTGGAATGATCCAGATGGTTGAGGAAGCGGTTCGGTTGGACACATCCCCCTCCACTGCCGCACCGCCCTACTCCGAGGTACCTCGATACAAGCCGTCTCACTGGCTATTGTAGCATGCTTTGGGTGGGGCTGGAAGTGAGCACCCTAACAGCTCCAAACAAACATGGAGGCAGACCTCCGCAAAGCGAGGCATTGCCAACGACTGCCAGGCTACTTTAACAAATACCTCACGACAACCTCACTGACATCATAAGTATCAGGTGGGCATCATTGTAATCCAAGTTGGGGGTATCATTATACTATCATCATCTTGATGATCAACACACAATCTGAACTAAGGATAGCTATTGACACGACCCTCCCCCGTGGGTGGCCCTGGATTAAGGTAGCCAAGGGCAATCATACGGCGAACGTAGTATCTCTACTTCTCGAGCCCAGACCTTATTCCATTGTAGCTCTTCTCATTCATTACATTGTAAAAACCTATGTTCGCACTTACCGAAAGAAACTCCTGATGCCCCGCACCAAGTCGTCTCTGTTCAATGTGCCAACCTTGCCCCACCGCATTGATGCTTTGTGGGAGAGTTTAGGCGCCTTGAACGCCCTGCTTTGGCTGTCTTTTTCTCCTCTATCGGATGGGCAAGGTGATGTTTTCGGGGTGATTGGGTCTCGACGAACTCGGGGTAAACTGTTCCCCGATGCGGTCCGTAAGACGGCTGGCTTCGACGGCCATACATCGCCGAGTAGAAAACCGCTGTATCCAGATCGAAGCTGCTCGACCGGGTCGGCATGCACAATGATATTGGGCTGAGCTAGCATCGGGGTTGCCGGAGCGCTAACTGTAGTGGTAACCTCGATATCATCGTCGATTTTGGGCAAACGAGGCCTTGTTGTTTCATCAACTTTGTCATCAGGACCGTGCTCCGGATTGGAACTCTCGGCTCTATAGATCTTTGAGGGATGTCCGTGATCCACGCCTTCTTTATCGCCCGGATCGTCCTCGACGACAAGTTTTCCAAGGCTGGCCACGCTGTTGGATCTCTTTGCAAAAGAGCTGGCGATGCTCGCGACACTGAGTTTGCGCATCATTGTGCTTGCTGAGCTTCGGACAAGGTGCTCACTGCGAGATCTACCAGTCATGCCCGGAAACGGAAGTATGTCTCGACTCCAGATATCAGACATAAGGGCTTCTAGCCGAGCTCTTTCGCCTCGTGGTGGAGCAAGAATAGGGATCCGGGGGTTTGTTGTCAGCAATGACTGTGATCGGTTGATGGATGGGTTCGGTGCCGATTCTGAGTTATCTCGTACAACGCTCGTGTTTTTCAGGATGAGTTGACACAACGGAGACTTTGGACCAACCGTCGTGGCGCGATGGATAGAGATCCGACGAGCAACAGTGCCTGGGCAGACTGTTAGTGACACAGAGTGGCCATTGTTTGGCGGTGGAAACACACCTGGTTTTCTAAATATTGTTCCAAGGCTCTTCATACTCAAGGACATTGAACTGTACAGGTTGGGGTCAGTTTGATTCTGGTCTCCCCTGGCGCGATTCGATAGTCGGCCTCGCCATTCCTCCAGTTCCCTGGGCGAGCAAGCAGTCATCAAAAGCTCGTACAATTGGGAATTGCATTCAAACACAAGTTTCCACGAAAACGGAGCCGTGTGGCATTGAAGTCCTTTCGCAGAGTTAGTTTGGCAGCACTGGGCGTGGCCGGGATTCTATTTCGCACCTCGTCCATTGTCCGTTTCCTCAATCTTGATGCTGTCCAAATTGATGCATGCTTGAATGGTGTAAATCTGGTCGACCTTGCTTGCCGAGGCCAAACATAACACGTTGTGGTATAGAAGACAAATCATGTATTGCCCCTTGACGCCTTCTTTGGTTTGCCAGCAAATGTGCAGCGTGCCACAAAGCTCGACATGACCAAACGATCTGATTCGGTTCTTTGATGCTGCATCAAGTTTCTTCCCCGCTGATTAGCCATAGCCACTCGGACTGGTTCAAGTTTCAACGTACTTGCTCGGGGAAAACAAGACGATCCTGAAGAATCCAAGTCTTTTCCAAGGTGGATTTCATTCGCCTGTCGCTCGTTGCTCGGTTGATCTCTGCCGTCGCCTCTCGCAAACGGAGAAGGGCGCTTTCGACTTCCATGTGAGAATTTGGGCAATCTATGACAGGTGTGTACTTCAATAGTTCAGCAAACAAGAGCGGGTATTTGCAGATGCGCTGAATGGGCTGAGGGCTTATTAGCAACAGGGTTCACCTCAATGGCATGCCCGCTCACCTTGACAAGTAGGTCTCCAATAGTCAGCGACTTCTTTGACTGGTCGTTGTGAGTACTCGCAGGGCCCAACGACGAGGCCAATGCTTCAATGCCTCGTTGATAGGTATCCCATTGTGGCATGGTCCGATGAGCTGAAGCGACGTCCTTGATCATCATCTCGTACTTGGCCCCATACTCCTCGTAAATAAAAAAGCGGTTCATCTGGTAGGGATGTTAGTGCTGCCATCCTCGGATAGAAAGAGTGTGGTGGCTCCTAACCTTCCTGCTGAAGACTTTGGCCACGTCACCGGCGATTTGGGCCTCTGAAATCATCCCGGGTACTTCCTGCAACCAGCTTATGGCTCTCCCGTTGTCTTCCGGCACGGAATCAAGACTCCTCAGTCGCCGATGTCCACGACTCGCTGTTTTGCTAAGCAGCGGAGGAACTTCGATTTGCGTGTATTCTGAGTCTGGCACAACTCGATGCAGCTCGCCCAAGAGTTCTTCGTGGAGTTCGACGATGTCCGTGAGATTGCGATTGATTGAAGACCTGAGTCCCATTGGCAAAGTCGGCAAAGAAGCCAGAATCGTGATGTAAACCTGCGCCTCTTAGCACTCGTCTCGACCAACAGTCCATTTTAGAAACGTACATTCATAAGAAAACGAATGTCCCCGATGTAACCTTCCTCTGTACTTATGAGCTCCTCCAAGATTCGCCGGCGCTGTAAAGCACGTTCGGTCGCCAACGGGTCGGTGTTTGCCGGCCATTCGACATGACAGCTGTCTTCCGAAAATCTTGCGGCGGTAAAGGAGGCTCTGCTGCTGCGATCTGTCTTGGAATATGCCAAAGAGCGACGGCTGTTACCCCTAGGGCGCGTCACAGAACTGCCGCTAGCAAGACTGACGCTAGCACTTTTCACCGCCGCGACGAAGCCAAACGACGAGCCTGACGATGACCTCCTGTGGCGAGTTCTCCGAGAAATGGCTGATCTATCAGTAGAATCAAGGAGTTTCCAGGGCAGAACGGTGTCTGTGTTCATAGGCTGAGGCCGCTGTTTAGCGCGTTGATGAAGGTTTCTCATCCATCTGTGAAAGGGGCCTCGTCTTGACGGCATGTCCGAGTCCGAAAGCTCAGAAGTGTTGTCGCTATCGTCAACTGAAATTTGCGGGAAAGGCACAGGTCCATCATAGGAATCGCCGTTGTTGGGCTCTAGTCCAAAAGCAGCCATGCTGCTCAAAGTGTCCCAAACCTCGACACCATCAATGTGCAGACCGTCGAGACCAGATGGATGGTCGACATTTTCGAACACACTATCAGAGTTGATCGAATCGTGCTGTGACCCGGGCGATGGGGGATTCGAGGTGGCGCAACCTGTCTTTCGGTTGATTCGGACAGAGCTGGAGCGGGAACAAGAACCAAGAGATGCAGAGTCTGGTGGCAACGCCATTTCGAAGCCCAAGAAAGAAGAGGTAAGACTGGGTTCCAAGACACCAAAAAAAGGAAGCAAATAGCAGGTCCAAGAGGATTCAAAACATGATGTACGGTAGCAACACCAAGAGATGAATGATGCAGAAGCGCTGGGACTGCCAGCTGCGCAAGACTTTGAAGGATTGAAGCTGAAGAGGATGATGTCGCCGGCGTGAGGTCTCTTAGTCAAGGGACGGGAAGAAAAGCCAGCGTGTGTTACTAGAGTGAAGAGGGGAAGGAGAGATTCGAGGCGAAAAAGTTCTTTCATCACCCAAGGACGGTCAGAAAGAGGTGGCAGTGGGGGAAGTGAGGCACTACCTCCATGTAGAAAAGCGAGGGAAGCGGCGACTGACCGATGGAAAAGTCTTGACCAAACCGCGGAGTCGGGACTGCATATCCAACACTCCTTCTACTTCATACCGGGCTCAACGACGATCAAGCTAACTTATATGGTTCTTTCACGAGAAGTAGCGGCGTGGTACGGGCCTGCGGTGGAAAGGTCGCACCCGGTGAACCTACCAAGAGGCCGGTGGGAAAGGATACAGTTGTGTTGTGCAGCCCATCTGCCCGACCAAGGAAATTTCGTCCCTAGCGCATCGCTGTTGGGCTGCGATCTATGGATCTTGCGTCGAAGATGCGAATTGGATGTTATCGTACCACACGTTGAGGCGGAACACGAAACTGCTGCTCGTGTCGGACTTCCCTTGAAGCTCAACACAAGCGTAGGGTGACATAGTGTCGTCCGCACCTGGGGAGAAAGACCTGCATGTGCCTAGGTAGGTACGGTGGCGGCGCGTAGTCTAGGTATGAGCGCCATGTCTTGTCGTGTGGCGTAGCAAACGGGCGACAAAGGACTCTTCCCACTAGCCTAGTCGTTAAGATGGCTGTACCGGACATTTGCCTCGCCGCCAACATTGGGGGGGGGCTTCGATGGCTTTCCGACATCTCAATACTTTTCTTGCGTTAGCAAACGGCGCAGACTTCATAAGCAACCTTGCGACCCCCGAGACTTTGGAATGGATGTGAGTCGCTTCTATATTCTATGGCTTCAGGCTGTCTTACGCAAGACACGCAGCCGGTGTAACGCTTGCAGGCCGACCTCCGTCTCCGTACGTCGTCTTCGCTCCTCAACCCTGACTCGGTTTCGGCGCGAGCGAGGAGGGCAGTCCCGGAGCGGCCCTACTAGCCTCAGTCCAGGAAAGACGGGTCTCATGGAGCAATCGGATCGGGCATTTCTCACCAGCCACGTGACTCAACAATTATGTCAGCGACCATCGTTACTCGAAAACCTAGTAGGTACCTAGGTACCTAGCCACCTAGCCGGATACCTTATCGTGTGGTTATCGTCCTTTGTCATGGGGCACAATGTCCGGGTTGCCAGGTCCTCACGGCGGCAAGAGGTCTTCCTCCCTTCCTTTCCACTTTGCTCTACGATACTGCTCCAGGTTACCTGTCGGCTTCGGGCGTGGCCTTCTTAATTGGCTTCTGCCCCACGTTTTCTTCCCTAAGGGCCGCAGTGGCTCGTCCCCGATTTGGCCAGGGACGCACAGGTGGATGCTAGGACCTTGGGAGTCCTGTTTCTTGTTGCAAGGAGCCCCCACTGGCGCTAGCCATATTAGGCTAGGATCGGTTTCTTTACCCGACGGCAAAAAAAAAAAAAAAAAGGTTCTTGAAGGGGAAGCTAGGCAAACCTGGGCCACTGAACGAACACGTAGAGCGTATTGGAAACTTGGGACATTGGCGACGATTTCAGCTTCTTGCCCCACTACGACTGCAATAGGATATGCTGTCTCTTTGATCGCAGTCTTTCCACCACCTTCTCTCTCTTTCACATCCTAAACCTTTCTTTTCACCAGGTTTGGATCTCATATTTGCTTTCCTCTTCCACAACTGTTGAAGAGTAACCTCCTTTTCGCCCCTTTCTCTTAGCAACAGAACCCGACGGTCTTTGGAGCTCAGCTGGATACTGCCGGTTCCTCGGTAAGACACGTCGCGCGTAGCGCAACTTTCGCGATGGAAAGCGCATTCGCCTCGCCCACCGAGAAGGTCCTCTCGACTCTGGGAGTGAATCCTAACACCGGCCTAACGGACGACCAAGTCATTGCATCACGGACCAAGCATGGCAAGAATGGTGAGCAGCTTTGCGACACGAAACCTGAGATAGACCCGTGCTGAGAGCCTGTCCACAGTCATCCCCGAAGAACCCCCGACGCCTCTTTGGGAGCTCATTCTCGAGCAGTTCAAGGACCAGCTCGTAATTATTCTCCTCGGATCTGCAGCTGTTTCATTTGTGCTCGCACTGTTTGATGACGAGGAAGGCTGGAGCGCTTTCGTCGACCCTGCAGTGGTACGTAATCCTCGACGCCGACATACCCACATTACCAAGACTTTCTCCGGCTAACAGTGCCGGTATTCCAGATCCTGACCATTCTGATCCTCAACGCCGTTGTCGGTGTTTCGCAAGAGAGCAGCGCCGAGAAAGCCATTGCCGCCCTGCAGGAGTACTCCGCCAACGAGGCCAACGTCATCCGCAACGGCCAAGTTTCCCGTGTCAAGGCTGAGGATCTCGTGCCTGGTGACATCGTATCTGTCCATATCGGCGATCGCATTCCTGCCGATTGCAGACTGGTTGCCATCGAGAGCAACAGCTTCAACGTCGATCAGGCTATTCTGACTGGAGAGAGTGAAAGTGTTGGCAAGGACTGCGACCATGTCGTCAAAGATGACAAGGCCGTCTTACAGGACCAGATCAACATGCTGTTCTCCGGAACCACTGTTGTCACTGGTCGTGCTAAGGCTGTCGTCGTCTTGACCGGTTCTCAGACTGCTATTGGAGACATTCACGAAAGCATCACTGCCCAGATCTCCGAGCCGACTCCTCTCAAGCAGAAGCTCAATGACTTCGGTGACAGCCTCGCCAAGGTCATCACGGTTATTTGCATTCTGGTCTGGCTTATCAATATCCCCCACTTCAGTGATCCCAGCCATGGGTCCTTCGCCAAGGGTGCCATCTACTACCTGAAGATTGCCGTCTCTCTTGGTGTTGCCGCTATCCCTGAAGGCCTCGCCGTTGTTATCACCACCTGCTTGGCGCTTGGTACGCGCAAGATGGCTGCAAAGAACGCTGTTGTCCGAAGCTTGCCGTCTGTCGAAACTTTGGGAAGCTGCAGCGTGATCTGCTCGGACAAGACTGGTACCCTTACTACCAACCAGATGAGCGTCAGCAAGCTTGTCTACCTTAGTGACAACGGCTCCGGCCTCGTCGAGCTTGATGTTGAGGGCACTACTTTTGCTCCCAAGGGGTCCATTTCTCTCAGAGGGGAGACCGTTACCGATCTGACCCGCTCCTCCTCTACTGTTCGCCAGATGACTGAGGTCGCTGCTGTTTGCAACGACTCCAAGATCGCATATGATGCCCAGAGCGCCACCTACTCTAACGTTGGCGAGCCGACTGAGGGCGCTCTGAGAGTTTTGGTCGAGAAACTTGGACCATGTGCGCCTTCTGGCAGCAACCCTGAGGACTGTGTACACTACGCCAGCGCTCAGTATGAGAGCCGACTCCCCCGCCTGTCTACATTCGAATTCTCCAGAGATCGCAAGAGCATGTCTGTTGTTGTCCAGAACGGTCAAGAGAAAAAACTCCTTGTGAAGGGTGCTCCCGAGTCTGTCATTGAACGATGCTCGCACGCTCTTGTTGGTGCTGATGGTAAGCGCCAGCCACTGAACAGCAAGCTCTCAGAGTTGATTACGAAGGAAATTGTGGACTACGGCAACCGCGGACTTCGTGTCATTGCCCTTGCTAGCATCGATAACATGGGTGAAAACCCTCTGTTGAAGTCAGCCAAGACCACTGCCCAGTACACTCAGATTGAGCAGAACATGACTTTTCTTGGACTGGTCGGCATGCTTGATCCCCCTCGCCCAGAGGTCAAGGCCTCTATCCGCAAGTGCAAGGACGCCGGAATCCGCGTTATCGTCATCACTGGAGACAACCGCAACACTGCCGAGAGCATCTGCAGACAGATTGGCGTCTTTGACGAATACGAGGACCTCAAGGGCAAGAGCTATACTGGCAGAGAGTTCGAGAACCTTAGCGAAAGCGAGGCCATCGAGGCCGCCAAGACTGCGTCCCTTTTCTCCCGTGTTGAGCCTAGCCACAAGTCCAAGCTTGTCGATCTACTCCAGCAGCAAGGAGAGGTTGTGGCGATGACTGGCGACGGTGTCAACGATGCACCTGCTCTCAAGAAGGCCGATATTGGTGTTGCCATGGGTTCCGGTACCGATGTCTCCAAGCTTGCCGCCGACATGGTGCTTGCTGACGACAACTTCGCTACGATCGAGGTTGCGATTGAGGAGGGACGTTCCATCTACAACAACACCCAGCAGTTCATTCGTTACCTCATCTCTTCCAACATTGGCGAGGTTGTCTCCATTTTCCTCACTGCCGCCCTTGGCATGCCCGAGGCATTGATCCCTGTCCAGCTTCTTTGGGTCAACCTTGTCACTGATGGTCTTCCCGCTACCGCCTTGTCGTTCAATCCCCCTGACCACGAGATCATGAAGCGTCAGCCCAGAAAGCGCGACGAGCCTCTCATCGGTGGCTGGCTCTTCCTCCGTTATCTCATCATCGGTACCTATGTTGGTGTCGCTACTGTCGCCGGCTACGCTTGGTGGTTCATGTACAACGCTGAGGGCCCTCAGATCACCTTCTCCCACCTTTCCCGCTTCCACCGTTGCTCCACCGACTTCCCCGAAATTGGCTGTGAGATGTTTTCCAACAACTCCGCCAAATCTGCCTCGACAGTTTCGCTCTCGATCCTGGTCGTCATTGAGATGTTTAACGCCATGAACGCGTTGTCCTCCAGCGAGTCTCTTCTGACCCTACCTCTCTGGGCCAACATGAAGCTTGTCTACGCCATCACCCTTTCAATGGCTCTTCACTTCGCCCTCCTCTACACTCCCTTCCTTCAGAACCTGTTTTCCATTCTGCCCTTGAACTGGAACGAGTGGAAGGCGGTTTTGTACATCAGCGCCCCTGTTGTGTAAGTTGATACCCATCCATGCGCTCCGAATCAGTGCTAACTGTATTACAGCCTCATCGACGAGGTTCTCAAGGCCGTTGAGAGATCATTCTTCAGTCAGAAGAAGACAATCGAGTCCTCCAAGCTAAAGAAGGAGAATTAGATGGACAATAGGGTCAGCCCAAGCTAGATCATAGATCACTAGTGCCATGGAAGCACTCGCAATCCATGTACAGTGTCGTTGTTCATAGAACGTTGCAGCCGATATCAAGGCATAAAAAGGATCAACAAAAGGATGTAAAATCAAAGGTCATTTGTCTAGTTCATGCAGGCTTCGAGAGCCCTCTCATAGTGGATTATCTCCATCTATTGGTACAAGCTGGAAACCGTCTATTTGCGGCGGTTCTACCTAGCTCCCCCTCCGTCCACACTAAACCGTTCGTCGTCAAAATTAGTCTTGTCTGCCCTTGAGCAGTCTCTTGGTGACCTTGTCCTTCTCGATAATGTACACGTGTGCACCCCAGCCGGATAGGGCGTCTCGGTCAACAGCGTTTAGGAGTGATTGAGAGATGGTTTCGAACAGCTCCTCGGGGCCCTGCATGGAAACCTGTATTAGCTTGCCGGTTAATATTGCCATGTCATCCATTGTCACGTACCAGATCGGGTTCCCATAAGCTCTCGCACATGCCAAAGAGTTGTTCGGACGCCGTGCCGGAGACGATGAAATCCTTGGCGAAATCGATGCAGCCGATGGAGTCGAAGCCACAAATGAAGGGCTTACCCGTCTTGGGGTCAAGGCCAGCAACGACAGGAGACACGAAGTAAGGGCCGAAGCGGCGCTCGTAGAGGGAGCTGCTGACGAGGTTGGCGAAGGTGGTCGGAGCGATGTTGCGCTCCTCGCGCAGGCGGTACATGTTGACCTTGTAGCGGAACAGGTCGCCGACGGTCGTGACGTCGGTGGCGAGGCCTGTGAGGCCCAGGAAGACGTCGCCGTACTGGAAGATCTTCGGAAAGTTATTGGAAACGGTCAGGGCCTGAAGACCAAGGCGGAGATCGCAGGCTATTGCGACGCAGTCCTTGCCGACCATTGCGACGCAGGCGCCGCCATCTAGAGAGAGGCTCTGGTTAGGATTGTGGCCCTGAATACATTCGGGGCTCGGGAGGGGCAGAGGGAGACGAACTGATAGAGAACGGAGAGCTCTGGAGGCCTGGTTAGCTGGGGGTTTGCACCTCGAGGCTGAGGAGGGGGGATGGCGGGCGTACCATCTTAGCTCCTGGAGCGAGGGACCGCTAGTTAGTTGAGTAATGCTTCGGGTGACGTTCGAAGGAGATTTATCGTCCAGATTTACGATGTGGGAGGATCGTGGGGTTGGCCGTGGACTAGCCTCGTGTGTTGCGTCGAAGTGGTTGATGGCGGGTCGTGATGGGCGTAGCTGCAATTGATGTTGACCGGATCGGAATGCTGAGGTAGCGTAGCACCTGCTGCCGCCTTCTCTTGCTGGGTTCTGGCTGTTGCAGGGCAAGGCAAACACGCATGGCGCGGCCGAAGCGGTCGGAAAATCCACGTACAGCAGGTTGGAGCTCGCTGATTGGACCGAGCTTGCTACGAGAGTGCTGAGCGATGATGCACGTCCCCCGGTTGCCTTCGCTGACGGAGTACCTTGCCTGCCTTACGTACCTGCGCTTGACCTGAACTTTTACTCACAAATGGAAGAATCAGTCACATCATCTTGCGCAGACCTTCGCTGGGATACAAAAGGAGCAGTGGCCTAACTCGGCTTTCTTTGAATCCAGTACCTAGTTACTCAGCATCCGAACAGCCTTCGAGAGTTGTTGCTGTCGAGTTTCCTCGTCCTTCCGCCAACTTCCACTATATTAATACATCACAAGCTTGGCGCAACAGCCCCCGCCGAACATTCAACCCCGCCAACAACACGATTCGAACACGATTCCAAACCACACACCAAACAACGACCAACAAGTCAACCGCGAACAGCTAGACCAGTAGCCTGACAAGTGCCATCGTATACCGTGGCCTACGACATCTCTGCAACCAAGATGTCGCACGTGGTCGTCATCGGCACGGACTTACGGAGGGCCACCGTCAAAGTCAGCCCGGGCACCTACTTAACAGATGTTTTGCAAGAGGCCTGCAAGAAGCTTAACTTGCCAAGCGATAAGTACATGTTAAAGTAAGTTGGAACGATTGCATTCCACCCGCCACCATTGGCCACAGACCTAACAGCCCGACGGACACAAGCAGAGGCAAGTCGATCTGTCTGTCGTCTGGAGAGTGAGCGGCCTTACTCCGGGTGCCAAACTCGAACTCGTACAGAAATCCAACACACCTTCTGTCGTGTCCGTTGCACTCCAGCTACCCGCTCCCGAAGCAAATGCAGCACCAAACGGCCGGTTGATCGAGAAACTCCCTAGCGATTTCACAATATGGAAGGTCTTGCGCCAGTTTGAGAGCGGCGTTGTCAGTCAAGGGAAGAACCTCACCATTACAGCAAGAGGGGTTGCACAAACAACAGACGGAGGCACGAGCGGGAGCGGCCAGATGTACTACGAGACGCCAGTCCTCAACATCATGGGTCGCGAACTAGCTACGTTTGACGACTTCCAGAGAACCCTTTCGCAACTTGGATATAACTCCGGCAGCGTCTTGATCCGGCTGTCGTTCAGGAAGACGGACCAGACTTTGTTCGAGGCCATGGGCCAGATCAGTCAGTTTTTCAACGAAGTCGAGGCGGAGACCAAGAAGACGGACCAGACGTCGCCTACTGTGGAGGAATCGGAGAAGTCTGTAATTGCCGAGAAGACACCTCAGGCTGCAGCCCCGGAAGAGGAGAGCAAACCTTCTCCAGGGGCAGACACATTGGAGAACCAACCAAACAGCGATTTACCGGAGCAAGAACCGTCAAGTCTGACTGAACCAACAGCGGAAACCATGGACATCGATCAGCCAGATACGGCAGACCCTTTGCAACCGGTCAGTGTCTTCCGTGCTCCGAGCGGAATGACGCCTGCGGCAGCTCTTGCAGATGTGCCAGAGGACGACTATGCGCCTACGATTGCCCACGCACAACTACACCAGGCCCGGCTTCAGCAAAGCGCGCAGAACAAGCGGCTGTTGTCCGATAAGGAACTCGAAGCGCTCAGGCAAGCAGAGGAAGCTCGTCTCGCGGCCGTAGATAAGGTGCCGATGAAAGTGCGGTTCCCCGACAACACCTCTGCGCAATGGACCTTTGGACACGAAGCGACCGGAGCCACCCTTTACCGGGCCGTCAGGTCTGTGATGGCCGACAGCACCCATGCCTTCAGGCTGGTCATACCTGGCAGCAAGGTCATCATCAAAGACGAGGATAGCCCGGGAAACCGCTTGATTCACGACTACAAGCTCACGCGTAGTGTACTTTTGAGCTTGGTCTGGAACGACAGTGTGCCGGCAGATGTCCGCAAGAAGCCCTTCTTGAAGGGTAGCGTTGCTCAGAAGGCGATGGACATTACAGTCCCTGATATTCCCATGAGCGACGACAAGGAAGAACAGCAAACAGTAGCCTCATCGTCAAAACCGGAGAAGAGAGAGGGGAGTGGCGATAGTAGCGTTGCAAAGAAGCTTCCCAAGTGGCTCAAATTGCCCGGAAAGAAGTAGACAGATTCGCGTCTCGTAAAATTTATGGCTCTTGTCCACTTCCACATAGAACTTGGCGAGCAGGTTCATGGCTTGGCACATCTGGCATGAGTTTGGAGTTTGATTCTTTATTTTTTCACCATTTCGCACGTAAGAATCACAAGCATGATCAAGGGGTAAATAATCATTTTTAAGACGAGGCAACAATGGGTGTGCTTAAAATTTTGGTATTTGTTGTCGTGAGCTGCAACTATTCCGCGATGCAGCATATCAGAAACCGTAAGGGGAGTCCATAAAAAGACAACTTTTGTGACCACGCCTTTGAACCCTTATGCCCAACCCAATATTTGCCAGTACACCCGTACGTTGAAACCGATCTGTTTAGTGACCGACACGGCGGGACTCGGCGATGACGCGGGTCATCTCCTCGACCTTTCTCTTGGCGCGGCCGAAGGTGCCGAGCCTCTTCTTGGCGAGCTTGCGGGCACGCTTGTCCTTGGAGTTGCGGAGCAACTCAATAACACGGCGCTCGTAGGGAGCAAGGCTGTGGTGGAGGATGGTGGTTAGCATTCTACGCAAGCCAAGGTCTGACAGGTGTTCGAGCCGTGATGTCCGGTATCGCAGGACAAGACCGAGGCCTTCTCCCAGTGTGGAAATAGTGATACACGGAGCACTCAACATAACCCATGAGTGTGAATGGTCACTTACCCAGCAACTTCCTTGACGACGTCACGGACGAAAGAGGTGCGCTTGCTCAGGTGACCCTTGGTGCGGGAGACGCGGGGCTTGACGACGCGGGGGGTGGTCTTCTATATTACCGAAGCAACATCAACCGGTCAGCGTCCATCTTCTGCAATAGAAAGCGGCAAAGGTTTGCTCGCTCCCCTCGTGGAGAGGGTTATGTGTGTATGCAGAGATCCTCCACGAGGTGAGACGAAGCGGGATGAAGTGTTTTCCCTTTCCCTTTGGGAAGCCCTTGTTTCCATTGTATGCGTCATGTCTGTTTCCCATTCTCGTTTCTTTCGATTCGAAAACTTCGTTTCGCAAATGGTTCGCGAGGGCTTCCTCTCAGGTCGGGGTCGTGAAAGTGGCAGTGGTGGTTCGACGTACGTGGCCGTGGTTAAGACCAACGGAGAGACCGGAGCGGACGGGCGCTTCCTTTGCCATCTTGCTCGATATTGGGCTGCTGATGGTCGGTGGGTGGTCGGGTTAGTAATGTCGTGATGGTCGAAGAGAAGGGAATAGGCTCGATCGTGGAAAAAAAAAAAGTTCGGTACTGTTCGAGGCAATTTTCGCTGGGCAGGTTTGTGCGGTCACGTGCTTGGGGTTAGCAAGATTTTGACTGGCTTAGTGGCCTTTAACCGTTAGCGACAGAGACAACCCACTGAGATACCGGAACAGTGGTGGTTTAGCGGGAGTTGACTTGGAGGGGCTGGTGGCTTTCTGATCTCCGATGCAGTATGATTGGCTCGTTTCTTCAACAGGACCTGGCCAAGCAGCATGCAGTCCGCCCCACTTGGGAAGCTGTTGAGCACTCGCAGGCTGAAATCGGCCTGCTTCAGTTACATCTCACCGACTTTCCAAATTTATCCCCTGGCAGGCCGTGAATGCATTTAGACTAGGAAGCTACAGTAGGCTGTGTTCTGGTACTCAGGATTAACGCATTGCATGCACCTCGTATCTGTGCCCGAGCACAATTGCGGTTGGAGAACAAAGTCTGGACTATGTCAAGTAGGTCTAGCACTATTGCTTCTTCCGTAGACCGGCGCGACCAGGTCGACCAGGCGGCTTTGGCTCAGGTTGCCTCAGAGCCGGGCGTTGATGTTCCCTTCTGTCCATCAAGCCCGGGATTTTCCCCCCACTGATTTGGGTTACCGCTTTCTTCGTCGCTCTTACGTAGGCTGGCTCCCTCACAACCCAGCCTATGTACCCAAAAAACAACGGAATCTTCATCCTTGACCAGACTCCTTTTGCTTATCTTCCCTGACTGTCGTCCAAACAACATCTAAAAACTATGAATAGCGGAGCGAGATCTGCTCAACCAAGGGTGTGCTTGAGAGGGGCTTGTAACAGATGGGATCAACAACCAGCGGCTCAGCGTAGGCTGCCATACTTGCAAACATGAAACATAGACTGTCCAATCACAACTGACTGTTCCCCTGAAAGACCGCAGGCGAAGCAACGCTGAGCCCCGATAATGCGAGCATTAACCTCTAAATTCTTCTCCATGTAACGACAGGTCCGTCTTGATTATGGACTGGTATGCTTGTTGTCGCATTCCTGCCCCTTGAATGGAGCTAGGCGGTCCTCCTCAGCCATCCCATGGACGCGGCCGGTCCGGTTGATTGCATCAGGATCTGCAGACCTCTGGTCCTGAAGGAACGGCGATGGAAATTTGGAGCTGCCCTTGCTGCTGGGTTGGGTACCGTGCGTAACTGGTATATTAAAGGTCAAGCTTGGAAGGAAGCGGCCAGCTCAGCGATCAGCGAAGACCTCATCTTTGGGTCATCCTGTCTTTCCAGTTCCCGTCCGTTTCTACAACCCTCTTCACACCCTCTCTGAACCTAGAACTGTGCGCTTGAAACCGTATTCACATACCTAATAATATCGCCCACCATCATACCCAACATGAAGATCTCTCTCTTTGTCATTGCGGCCCCAGTCGTCCAGGCTGCGGTCTCTTACATGGCCGCTGTCCCCGAGTCTCTCATGTCCAAGGTACAATCCTCCGACTGTACTCTCCCCGACGACTTCGAGATCCAGAACTTTGCCGCCGAATCACCGGACGGCGGCAAGACAATCGAGTCCCTGGCCTTCAACTTCAACGACGACAGTACCATCGTCAGCACGTCGTGCCAACTCAATGCCTCATCAATGCCTGTGGCCGGCGATGGCCGTACGGCACGGTACGCCTGCGACGATGCGCGCGTGCAGTTCATCTGGCGGAACGGGACCACTACTGTGATTGAGAAGGTCTGCCCCGGCGAAGACGGGTAAGTTAAACCATTGATTCTACGCCACATTTGCCGCGGCTCCGCGACTGACAGACGGAACACAGTGCCGCCGACTACGAGGTGTCAGGAACGGCCCTCGTTCCGGTGGTATGCGACGGGGCTGCCGGGAACGGAACGGCTACCGCTCGTCACAGGCGCAGCAAGAGCAGGAGGGCCGTTGCGTGCAAGTCCAACTCGGATAACATCCGATCCAGGTTCTTCAGCATCCAGCCTGTTCCAGGCGGCGGCGATGAGTAGGGCAATCTTGGGACCAACTGAGCAGAAAAAAGAGCAGAAAAAAGAGAAGGGTACCAAGTACTACGTTATGTTTGATGAAACAGAGAACAACTGACCCGATGAGGTCACAGACAAAGTCTAGACATAGGTAGATCATGCTTCCCCAACAATGTATTGGGCTGTACATACTACAACTTAGGCGTCCATGGAACATATGACGGGAAAATAGTCACATGAACAAATAGGACACAAAACAAAATAATCAATCGACCGCGCCTGTTCCCCTCATGGGACTATAATCAATATTCCTCCGCGCGCAGTGCCAGGAAATCAAAAGTAAAAAGGGGGAAGGGGCCGCCGGGTAACTGACATCGTTTAGCGGGGCAATGACAGTCTAATCCAAATTCGGTCTTTCCCCAGCAGCCACTTGGCCTCCCTCCAGGGGCAGAGCACCACCATTCAAACCCAACCATTTGTCGGCAATCGTCGCTTGGCCGCGCCTCTCCGCATCCTTTTTTTGTAGGTGCATTGCAGAGCAGGTCTTGCATTGCCATATGACCTCATCATACTGACCTCACGAGATCAGTCTGAGACGTCGGTATCCCGTCCTATTTCTGCTACTTTTTGAGCATACGCACACATCTCTGACCGAGTTCATTTGAAGGAACCCTATTTTAGATTTAATCGTTAATCATGCGCTCCTGGAGAGTCTGGCTGTAATCGACATTCGATGCCATCAACTGTGATCATCGTCATTGGATTCGCAAACTAGCCCAATCTTACAAACTCTTCGTTTTTAGCAACCATTCACCACCAGGACTATTCTCTTACGTTTCTCCCTACCCTCGCTTCCGCTGGTTACATTGAGAGAAGATAATAACTCCGCCTTGCGCCATGTCTTTCAGCTTGGGCAATCGATCATAGGCTGCACCTCGCGGAACACCCTACTAGAAGACCATCACCATCACGAAGCCCTAGTGACAAAATGTTCTCGCCCATGCAACCTCTCCTCAACCTCCTCCAGCTCGCGTCACTGGTTGGCCGAGCCTCAGCGATACCGCCCGGCAACGCGCAGCAGCCGCTGTCGCTGACCAACGACAGTAAGGCAGACGCGCCTCCGCCGATCGTTTCCGTCGAACTCTTCCGATCCCTCGAGCGCACGTCGCGCATCGTCGATATAACCTACTGCGTCGGCACCTCAGGCATATCGCAGCCCTTCTCATGCGTATCCCGCTGTAAGGAGTTCCCCTCGTTCACGCTGGTTTCGACATGGAACACGGGGGTCCTTTTAAGCGACAGCTGTGGCTACATTGCCGTGGACCACGGCGTGCGCAGACCGGGAGATGAGGACAGGTTCAACGGCGAAGTCGGGGAGAAGGCCATTATTGTCGCGTTCCGCGGCACCTACAGCATCTCCAACACCATCATCGATCTAAGCACGATACCGCAGGAATACGTGCCTTATCCCTCTCCCGACGACGGCGGCCAGCCACCCAAGCAGCCCAAGCACAAGTGCAAAGAATGCACAGTCCATATGGGCTTCCTGGCGTCATGGCGCCAGGCACGGAACCAGGTGGTCCCTGAGGTAAAGAAGCTGAGAGATCAATACCCCGACTATCCCATCCACCTGGTCGGCCACAGTCTCGGAGGCGCCGTTGCGATGCTTGCGTCCCTCGAGTTCAAGGTGTCGTTTGGCTGGGACAACATTGTCGTTACGACTTTTGGCGAACCCAAGGTTGGGAACCAGGGCCTCTGCGACTACGTTGACGAAGTCTTTGGACTGGACAACGAGAAAGAAGAGAATCTGTCCAAGCGGTCCTACCGCCGCGTGACACACGCCGACGACCCGGTGCCGCTGCTCCCACTCACAGAGTGGGGTTACAAGCCACATGCTGGCGAATACTATATTAGCAAGGTGGATCTGTCTCCTTCTCTTGAAGACGTGATCGTCTGCCGTGGCGACAGCGACGCGCGCTGCATCACAAAGGGGGACGGCGGCTTCTTCGAATCCAAAGTGCAAAAGTTGGCAGAGGTTGCAAAGTCTGTACAAGTGGCCGACGAGACCAAATGGATGAAGAGGCTGCCGGGGTTCCCGGCCCGGCTCAAGCTTTGGCAACTGCTCTTCGCCCACAGGGATTACTTTTGGAGACTCGGGCTTTGTGTGCCTGGTGGCGACCCGGCGAACTGGGGGAGAGACAAATACGGCGGACACGAAAATGCTATACCAGACGAGCTCTGAACGCTGTCGGGTTCCTTTAAGGAGTAGGGTTTGACATTGATGGCCTTCTGGAGCCGGCATATGATGGAAGTCAGTGTTACAGTACCCATGGTTGTATCTCATGACCGCGAGGCAGGCTCCCCGAAAGGCAGAGAATGTGCGGCGTTTGGACGGGAAGGCGGGCGTTTTCACTTGCCAATAACTGCGATATTAAGACTGTACCGAATTAATGAAAATTACTCAAGCCCAGTCACTGTCGTATTGGATCAACCTGGTCGGGATTGAGTCGTGGAGCAGTTTCCCCCAACGTAAACGGGTGCCTAAGCCCGTTAAGTCTTTAGTGATAACAAGCATCCGAACCTGTGGATTCGTTCGTCGACCTTGACCGTTGAGAACTGCTAGCGGCATTTTGTCTTTGCCACGCAGAGTTCAACATGGGACTGGTTTCCAATCGCTCACAGACAACGCTGCTGAGTCGAGACTCTGCGCAAACGGGGGTCGTTGTGCAGCTTTTCCACTTGCCTCATCTGTCGGGGACGCGGAAGATTCAGCTCTCCCCCACCAGTGATTTTCCGTCAAAAGTCCCAGCCCAAATCCCCCCGGTTCTGCGATCAGCTGGACTGCCTGTCCACTGCAGTGTACAAAGGCATGTGGGGGCCAGAGCGGCAAAACACGACTTCCAGAAGGAAGCCACCCTGCTGAGCCCCTCGAAGAACCCTAGGAGGTTGCGACCATGCAAGGTGTAGGCGTGCTGGCAAGCAATATGCGGGCGCCGGGAACAGTCTGGGGTGAATTCTGCCCGCAGCAGTCCCAAGTCGGGATGTTTTCCCTCGCGGCTATCAGGCCGCTCCCTCTGTTTATACTGACCAGCGAGTGGGCTCAACTGAGGGGACTGGGTTGGCCTGTCATCCGCGTGGTAATACCGTCGCCCGTAGCCTGCTAGATCTCCCAAAGGTTTTCTACCGCTTGGGGACGAGAAACAGGGGTGGGAGACGAGGGGCAAATGGGGAACAAGATCGAAGGGGGAATGGCGTGCCATCAGTGCCGAAAAGCAGGTTTGTTCGCATCGAAGCGTGCGCTTGGGATCGCGGAAGTTATTTCGAACTGCACGCGCTCAGAAGATGCCACGCGATAAGGCGGCAGCCGTGGGCCTGTCGCATGCGTGTCGCTTGTCGAACCCGACTGCATGGAGGGGGAACCCCCCTCCTCCATGGGCTGTGCTGGCCGTGAGTCACTATGGCTGCGATGGCATCGTAAGGGAGGGTAGGAATGGCCCTATTTAGGATGAAGTAGGGAGCCAAGAGATTGGGTACCAGAAGTTGTGCGCCTGGTGTTGGCCGGTCAGAGCCAGGGAAACAACTCAGATGTTGTTACATGCTTCCGGTCAGGTTGAGCAAGTTTAGTTGCCCATCGCGGTGGCATCTTAAGCCTTTGACGTTTCACTCGCAGGTGTCTTGCGATAATTTCACAAGCAGAGCAAATCGGGGATGCCGGATGGCCCGCTGGTCAAACGATGACCTATCACACCCCCTGTGTTGAAACTGGTTTCTCTGGGGGTTTAAGGCAGAGGCAACCGCAGATTGATGAACGATCGGATATTTCGCAGAATGTGCACCGGCGGGTGGGCAAAGTAGTTTCGTGCATGACACGACACCATTGCCTTGTTGACAAGCATGCATGTGAGCGGTAACGCGAGATGCAATGGGGGCCACTGCAAAGCAAGGTGACCAGTCAAGGGACAGCCGTCGTGGTTGGACAACATGTCGGCTGGCCTCGTGGCTTGGTCGGCCGAGTGGCTGCTGGTCCCCGGCAGTGAGGCACCGGCTTCAGCGGGACAAGCAAGAAGGGCATGCATGGTCATGGATGATTGGGGCAGACCAAACCATGCCGAACAGTAATAACCGATGTGGACGAACAGTGTCCTGCCTGTCGTAGGATCTCCGTCGGTCTTGCCCATTCCCCTTCCCAAGGCCTTCTGGTGGGTTGTCGCCCGGGGGGGTTGGACGCTCACAATAGGTACGGATGTACTGAGGTACTTACACATTGCATTCGTCTCTTCGACGACTTGGCCAACAAGGAATTTCCCATCGTCACCAATAGAGTTGTGATGTTCGATGTAGCCGTCAGATTGACGACAGTATCGAGGCACAGAGAGATGGCCTTGCGTGAGCCCCAAACGCATTTGTATGCGATTTGAGACGGCCGCGTGCAATGGTCCGAGAGAAGATGGGATGGCATTTAAGTAACGAAGGGTAGAGGGCAGAATACATGCCCATCCTTGAGGTTTGGTGCGAGATAAGCCACTACAAGTGAGAATTCCAGAAATCAGTGCGGTCCCGTCATCCAATCTAAGCGGATGTTTTGGGCGTATTGCTTCCATTTCTTGGATTGATCATTATACAGGCTGTCTGCCCAATGCACTGGGGCGCCTGTGCAATGTCGACTTGTATCGTCAAATGCTACACCGTCGTTGTGTTAAGCAGAATATAGGAGGCGAAGGAAGAGGGTGTTACATGATGGGGGCGGGGATTTCGCTGATGGGTCGACTGCAGGGTGTGCGATGAGCCAGGGGCCAGCGGATTTTATCACGCGTAGATGTGCTTGGAACAGGACAGAAACATGAGAAGCGGAATCACGAGACAGAAAAAAAAGAACTGGTTTGGCCAGGGAAGGAGATACGTACATGGCGGGCGTGTCACAAAGCAGGAGCGGGGAAACGCATAGAGAGGGTGGATCTAGCATCAAGACGTCCAGCCAGCCAGTATTTGCCATCCTGATGTTTAATGTCGCCTCGCTGTATTGCTGTACTGTGTGTTGTGTGCTGAGCTGGCCGTCCTCCAACACCCGCACACACCCGCACACACTTTCAACATGCCCAGGCAAATGACCTTCACCTGAGGTATCTGGGTGGCCTGTCTGAACGACCTCCCCACGGACTCAAATTGGCCAGCCCATTTCCTTGCTGCTCTAATCTCCTGGACTGGAGAGGCGACTGTTATAATCTCTCAAGCCTTGGTCTCGTGACAATTACTCGGATGGGGAACTGGTCCATCCATCTTAGGGGTAATTGGTCGATGGGAGGAACTCTGCTGGGCCGGCAAGAACGGGCTCGTTGAATTTGACTTTGGTTAATAAGAGAAGCAATTGCTGCCGAGCGCTACCTACAACTGCTTGCCCTCGAGGTAGGTACCTCTTCTGTACATCGTCGGTTTCCACCTGCTAGTCGCCTGTCACTTGAGGACTAGGCTAATACATCGTGTCCCAACTTCCCTCGATACGGAATCTTGCCTCTGCTGCCCGGCAGGCTAAGGTAATCTCAGAGGAACAATCCACACAAAGGGACCTCACCACATGCTAATAATGCCATTTGGCCCTGGCTATCCCCCCTCCCCTCCACCCCCCCTATCGAGCCCTGGTCACTCCAGCCTTCCTCTCTCTTACGCTATTGATCTCCCCTTTCCAAGCATGGGAATCCAAAAAGGAGTTCTCGCCTCATATGTCCCGTGCTATCGGCAAATATACAGCAAAGTCAAGAGAAAAGCTGTGAAAGGAGCAAACAGAACCCTGGCCGCATGTCCCTGCCACTCGTCCACTGCCTATTGTTTACTAGCTTCAACTTTTCAGGGTACAATTCTACTGCGTAGCAACCTTGGGCCTAGATACAGCAGAGCCTAGCCCAGCCCGGCGCCCCATTCTTCTTCCCCTCCCGCCAAATTGGAACCTTCCCATGCCCTGGACCATAGTCCCCGAGCCCCCGAAAGCCTGACCACCTCATTCCCGTCCAATTCACTTGAGCAGTCCAATCCAGGACCCTCACAGGCAAGCCAGGAGGGGGGATGGAAGTGGGGAGGGGGGGGGAAGGAAAGGAAACGTAGTGGGGTTGAGGCGGCAGGTGCCAGCAGCCAGAGCAGCAGGCACAGGCCCCAACCAGGGCAGGTATGTTACGGTACGGCGCGGTAGCAGGGTAAGGTGCCATGGGGGGGCTGTCCACACGCTCAATTGCTTGCTGCTAAGGCAGAAAGTAGCGAAACAACGACCCCGACCCAAGGTACGGGTACGGGTACGGGTAGAGAAACCAGCAGCCCAGAAGACGGAGAGGGAAAGAGCGACTTGAGGAACAGTGGCAGTGGCCGGCGGGCTTGGACCAGCCCGATTAAATCTTCACTGGCCTCGCAACTTCCCTTTGAGATCCCCCCTCCCAAAATAATTCGTCACACGTAAACACTCCCTCTGCCTTCCCTCCTTCTCCCACCACACACATCTTTTTCCACTCTTCAACAACAACAAAACAAACCCGCGTCAACTTCTCACCGACCCCCGTTGCACGCCCTGCCACCATATCTATCACTACCTTCTGTCAAACTTCTCTTTTCCACCTCAACCTAGTCGCATCACCTCAATCCCAAAGTACAACATGTCTGGCGATGTAAGTACCATTTTCCCCACGCTGCCCAACACTACCACCTCACTCCAAAAACCCCTCCGTCGCCCCTCGCTCGTCTCTCTGCAATGCCTGTGCCACCGCAACGAGCATGTCCATGATGCGACCGCTGAACCGCCACCTGTATCGTGCGCCTCTCCGATTTTCCTCGTCGCTTTCTCTTGGCTGTGGTTGAGGTCGATAGCCCGTTCTCCTATCCTTCTCAAATCACTCATCGCTGCTATGACCTGCGGAAAGAAAGCATGCTGACTTGTGCCCCTCTTCTAGCGTGAAAGGTTTGTGTTGAGCCTCCTCGTCGATGGACCACCTCCCATCCACCAAAATCTCAGTTGCCGCGTGCAGCATCGTGACTGATTCTTTCCCTACAGCAAGACCTTCCTCGCTCGCCTTTGTGAGCAGGCCGAGCGCTACGATGAGATGGTCGGCTACATGAAGGAGGTTGCCAAGCTGGGCGGTGAGCTGAGTGTCGACGAGCGCAACCTCCTGAGCGTTGCCTACAAGAACGTTGTCGGTACCCGCCGTGCCTCGTGGCGCATCATCTCTTCTATTGAGCAGAAGGAGGAGAGCAAGGGCTCCGACAAGCACGTCGGCACCATCCGCGAGTACCGCACCAAGATCGAGACCGAGCTCGAGCAGGTCTGCCAGGATGTCCTCGACGTCCTCGACGACAGCCTCATCCCTAACGCCCAGACCGGCGAGTCCAAGGTCTTCTACCACAAGATGTACGTTCTCCGGTGCAGCAACCTGTCGTGGTTTCTGTTCATTCCGGTCCCGGAACTAACCGCTACGTCCCACTATCCAGGAAGGGTGACTACCACCGCTACCTTGCCGAGTTTGCTTCTGGCGAGAAGCGCAAGGGTGCTGCTACTGCTGCCCACGAGGCCTACAAGGTACGAAAAAACATGAAATCTTGGCACAATCATTCTCGAGAATATTGGAGTTAACGCCGCCCTCTTTTCTTTAACAGAGTGCCACCGACGTCGCTCAGACTGAGCTGACCCCTACTCACCCCATCCGTCTCGGTCTGGCCCTTAACTTCTCCGTCTTCTACTATGAGATCCTGAACTCGCCCGACCGTGCTTGCCACCTTGCCAAGCAGGCCTTCGATGATGCCATTGCCGAGCTCGACTCTCTCTCCGAGGAGTCTTACCGCGACAGCACCCTCATCATGCAGCTCCTGCGCGACAACCTTACCCTCTGGACCTCGTCCGACAGTGGCGACGCTGAGGGTGCCGCTGCTGGCACCGCCGAGGCCTCTGAGGAGAAGAAGGAGGAGGCCAAGACTGAGGAGCCTAAGGCCGCCGAGGAGACGCCTGCTGCCTCCTAAATTTCTGTCTTACTCTGATACCACTCCATCTCAGCTCACGATAGGACTGAGATGGCTCATCTACTCGGCCGTCGGCATGCGCTACATGCGGACCTTCTGATGGCTGGATCTGGCCGCCACATTAGTGGCTGATGATATTTGTGACTTGCAACAAGCGAGTCTCTTGGCGAAAGGGGAGGGTTTTGGGGGTTTTGAACGCGGAGAAAGGAATAATGCGTGGCATGGTCCCTTTTGGTCTCTTGGATGTCCATCCTGGTCTGGAACAGCCTTGTTCCTTGGACCGGGGGCGGTGTTGGAGAGACTCTACTTGGCAGCTAACTACCGACCTTCCCCCTTCTTCATACCCGTCCATGCCCAGAATCTCGTCTCCTTTTGTTCTCACCGAATCCTGCTTTTTACCCCTGTGCTGGATGGTTTACGGCTGTCTCGTGTTCTCTTTTTCGGTTTTCCTCATAGTGGTCCTTCAGTTGTCGCGCGTCTTCTCGTGGAGAGAGGAGAGAGAGAAAGAGAGAGAGAGAGAGTCCTTCCCCCAATGCCCCATGTCTATTCAGTCTTACAAGACCAAAAAGAAAATAACTGTTCATCAACAACCCTAGGCCAAACGATTCGGCGTATTTGACATGTGCGATTTGTGCAGGGTACTAAGCATGTCGCTAATTCCGGTTTGGGACAGCATGGGACAAGAGGATCTCAACAAGTAGTGATTGGTGAAGCGCACTTTGAAAGGTTTCCCCACGACGTTGGACCCGCGGGTTACTGCTGTCTTGAGCAGTCGGCAATCTCAGCACTGATGTTGATATGGCGTCCGCATCCGACATCATCAGTGCAGGTTACATACAGCCAGTTGAATAAGTGGCAAATTAGTATTTCCTGCACGAGCTACATTTGTGTATGTGTGGGTGTGTGTGTTCAACCATGTATGCGAACCGGCGCCGTTGCTACCAAGATCAACCCAGATACAAACAAATAAATAGAAACGCCAAGCACCGACCATTTATTTCGTTTCCCATATTCCACACGACCTCTTAGGATGCGACTCATTATAGCAGCACCCGGGCTAGTAGTACTCATCCCGCTCGTCCATCCCTATATACAACGAAACTCTTAGCGGTCTCTGTGGCTCCTGGTGAGCAACCTCTCGGCCCTTCTGAGCCGCGCCTGCTTCTCGGCGATCAAGTTCGGCACGTGGCCCCGGCCATCCGAGTTTGTCTCGCCGACGACGCAGTCCCCATCCGCGTCCAGCTCCGCGTCGGCGGCATCGTGGATCTTGATATTGAGGGGGGCAGCAAGGGTGACGCGTCGGTACATCTTAGTGGCGGCTTCCTCAGCGCCGCGGGGCGGCATAGGCCCGCCGGTTTTGCTCCCGCTGAGCTTGCGGACAAGGTTGCGCATGCCGCGGAAGATTGGGTGGTTGCCGTGTTTTGCACGGAATATCCCAACCGGTACATGTCCACCGGGCAGCGCCTCCGCCTGGTCGAGGTAAGCCCCGAACGGGTCCAAGCCCATTGCAGGCGGGGCTCCTAGGCGGGAGCACGTCGGGCAATGCGTCTGTTGTGAGGGGAGCATGTCGCTGCGTGGAAATGTGAAGGCGTCACCTGTCCCCGGTGAGGACGCCGACGAGGAGCCCGACGATGAGGCCGCAGACAGGGAGATGTTTGTTGAGGAGGCCGATGCGGCCGGCGAGGAGGGTGGACATGTGCACAGGGATGCCGAGGCTGCAACCTCCTCGCGCCAGACTTGTATTCGCTGTTGCTTGCTGAGAGATGGATTCTGAAGAGACATCTCGGCGGCTGTTTGTTATCGTCGTTTTTTTCCCTTTTTTTCTTTCGTCCTCTTTATTACGCTCCGAGAATTATCAGAGTTGGCCGTGCTGCTGTGT